GCACAAGGGCCTGAGTTCAATCCCCAGTTCCGCAAAAAAAAAAAAAAAAAAAAAAAGAAACTTATGTCAAAGTAGCCTCAAGATTGTTTGATAGGAGACAGACGAATGTAACTCCATGTTTACTGCTAGAAACCAAAGCTTTGTGTGAAATCTTGAATTTATGGAGAGGGATGGAGGGTGGAGGGTGGCAAAGTATATACCTGTCTGTTCTTTCCCTGAACCCTTCACCTCATTCCTGAACTGCCAGGACCAAGGCCCCTTGGGCTTTGGTGACCCCTTCACTGGGGTGTCTGTTTGATGACTGATTTTGTTGTACCCCGCTATACTTTCTTTCCTATTTTCTAATCATTTTGTAACAAGTGTGCTGACTTTTCCTTCCCTTCTCCTTTCCTTGGGAAAATATAATGAATAAAAAGTCTTACTGGTTAAAAACAAAACAAAACTTTAACCCATCGTTGGTTGATTTGCATATAAGGTGTGAGGTTGGGAATCCAATTTAACTATTTTCCCCAACTTTTTTCTCTTTTCTCCTCTTCAAACATTTTCTCCTTTGTTCTTATTCTAACATGCCACTGCTTTCACACACTAAACTGTCTTATTTTCTTAGGTCTGTTTCTAGGCACTCAATTTTACTCTACTAGTCAATGTGTCTAGCCTTACCTCAATACTATTACTTTATAAATACCTGTATATTTTTTTTTATACCCGTATCTGATAAGGTCAGTTTCTTATCACTATCCCTCTTCTATAAAGTATTCTATTCCTGTTTTGAATTATACTCTCGTATTAATTAAAAAATTTTGCTGGTATTTGGTTTGGATTGTGCTGAATCTATATCAATTTGAGAGATAATGACATCTTTGCCGAACCTGTCTCTCCACTTACATGCAAGTTCTCCATCATCTCATAATAAAAGGAGCATCAAATTCATCTCAGAAGCCAGTCACTGAGGAATTAAATTATCCAGCAGATACAAACTAAGAGAATACTACCTTGGGTTTAAGAGAACAGAAAAGGCTTTTGGAGAATTTGGAGTAAGAAAAACAACTTGTATATTTTTGGTAGACAAATACAAATAAAGCATGTTCATTCATACATAGGTCTATTTTTTTCTTGTGTTAAATTCTTTTTCAAAAAATTTATTTATCAGATATAGGGTCTCACTACATGGTTCAGACTCGTAGTGATCCTCTTGTCTCAGCCTCCCCAACACAGGGATTACAAGTGTGCACCACCACACCCGGTTTCAGGGCCAGTAAGGCATGCGGTACTGGGGATTAAACCCAGGTCCTTGTGCTTGTCAGACAGGTGCTTAGACTGCTGAGCCATCTCTCCAGCCCCTACTTTATCTTTTAACAAAATGTAATTAAATCTGTCAACGTCTTGATGGGAGCTGCTCTTGGGGCTCTGCGATGCCACCCAAAGATGACAAGAAGAAAGATGCCAGAAAGTCAGCCAAGAAAGACAAAGACCCAGTGAACAAATCTGGGGGCAAGGCCAAAAAGAAGTGGTCCAAATGCAAAGTTCGGGACAAGCTCAACAACCTGGTTATGTTCGATAAAGCTACTTACGACAAACTGTAAGGAAATTCCCAACTATAAACTTATAACGCCTGCTGTGGTCTCTGAGAGACTGAAGATCCATGGAGCACTGGCCAGAGCAGTCCTTCAGGAGTAAAGGGCTTATCAAGCTGGTCTCAAAGCACAGAAATCAAGTTATTTATACCAGAAATACTAAGGGTGGAGATGTCCCTGCTGCTGGTGAAGATGCATGATGAATAGGTTCAACCAGGTGTACATTTGGAAAAAATAAATTTTATTATTAAATGCAAAAAAATGTAACTAAACCATAATCATGTGCCAGACACTGGGCTAAATGGCAAAGATACACACAGAAGTCAGTTCTCACCTTCCAGACTTTCATGATTTAGTGAGAGAGAAACATGTAAGTAAACAGTTACAGCAAACCATAATGGAAATATACATAAGCCCTTTGGGAAAACAGAAGGAATACTCAGCTCTGTATGGGAAGCTCTTCTGATGAAGAAGAATTTAAGCAGATCACAGCATTCTATGCAAGGGACTTGCATGTATAAAACCACAGTGGCAAGAAAGAAAATAGCTTCCCAACAACCATAAATAGTTCAGAATGACAAAAACAAAGTATATAAGCAGAGGCAGAAGAGGATGAAAACTGGAACAGAAGCAGAGTATCAAGTACTGAATGCCATGCTTAAGAAGTTGAACCATTTTCTCACAATGTAGTTCAAGGTTCACCTGTATTAGAATCATCTAGAAGCAGAGATTTCAAACTGTAGTTTAGTACCCAAAGGTCATTAAATTAATTTAGCAGATTAAATAGTAAGCATTTTCTGGGAGGAAAGAAGGAAAGGAAAGGAAAAGTAAAGGATAAAAGAGGCAGAGGGAGAGAAGGAAGAAGAGAAGAAAAATATAAAATGCAATGATGAGTAAGGCATAAGCTACAGGACCTTTAGCCAATTACTTAACTTTTCTATGCCTCCATTTTGTTATCTTTATGTGAATACACGAATAGTATCTACCTCCTAGGTTGTTACAAAAATTAAATGATGTAAAAATGTAAAACATTCTCCACCAAAAATAACTTTAAGTGTTATCTGTATGTATGGTATTAATCTTACTCCGGGTTTTAGATTACAAAAAAAACCAACCAAACAAACAAACAAACAAACAAACCAAAAAAACAAAAACAACCCTTTCCCATTTTCCATAATGTCTTTAGCACTGGCATCAAGAAACTGCATTTGAATTCCAGCTAGCACTTAAATTTTCTGACTATCTTGGGATGGTATATGAGCACAGCCTTGGTTTTCTCCTCTGTGAGGCAGTATTGTTCAATGATTCAATAAAAAGGTGTAGGCAAAACACTTAACATTTACTTCCTCATATACAGGAAATGCTTATTAATAAATAACAACTACTGTTTATAATCTTCTTGTTTTACACTGCACGTGGACTTCTTAAAAAGTCTGGCCTTAATTTGACAATGGTTCAAATCTAAAAGTGAGCAGACTCTTGATACAGAAATTTACCACTTCTGAAAATTTATCCTAAAGAAATAACCACAAAAGAGCTTCTCAAATAAAATGGAAAAAAAATTAAATGGTCACTAGAATAAACAAATTAGTCTACCCAAACAACAGAATAATGTGCTGGAAAAGTAAAAGAGATTTGGAAGTACTGACATAGAGAGATGTTTAAGATATAATACTGAGTAGAAAAAACAAGCAGAATAGCACACATAAAATGATCCTTTAAAAAAAAAAATCTTGGCATTTTTAGAAAAATATACATCAAACTTCATAGTAATCTCTTCTGACAATTAAGGCTGAAGAGGAAGGGGCTGGGGATTTAGCTTAAGTGACAGAATGCTTGCTTAGCAAACTGGAAGCCTTGGGTTCAGTCCTTGGCAACAAAACCACAAACTAAAAATAAAAAAACAATTATCGGGCTGGCAAGATAGCTCAGTGGTTTAAAGCACCTGCTTAGGCAAGCTTTGGCAAGTACAGGGATCATTGTTCAACCCTGGCACCACATGCCGCGCCAGCCCCGCCCCTAGGCCACAGTAAATAAATAAATAAAACAAAATTACAACCAAAACAACAAAAAATTAACAAAACAACTGCACACACAACTTAAAAAAAAAGTCTTAAGGTGAGAAACGAAACTTCTGCTTAATATTAAATAGTATAAAATATGAAGACTGACACAAAAGACATACACATCCTACAGCTTATAAAAAACAACACCCGAGGGCTGGTGAGATAGATCAGCAAACTAAGCGCCTGCTTAGGCAAGCACAGGGACCAGGATTCGATCCCCAGCACCACATGCCATGCCAGCCCCGCCCTCGGGACACTGAGCTGGTCACTGAGACCAGGCATAGTGCTGCCTGCCTGTAATCCCAGAGCTGGGGAGGCTGAAAACAGGAGGATCACTATGAGTCTGAGCTGTGTAGTGAGACCCTGCACCAAATACACTTTTTTTTAAAGTACTTGTTTGTGAGTACATTCCAAGTTATCATTTCCCCAAACTACGCATCTGGGGAAAATACAAGCCCACCATGCAAAGATGACTTAAATATGACAAAAAAAATCTATTTTTTAATGAATTTTATAGTTATTCAATTCATGACATGCCTATTTAAGTAGCTGCAGAAGACTTTAGAATGAAGACTACCAGGAGTATAAAAAGCCAGGATTTATCTGTTCAAGCAATATAGAGTGCTAAATAAAAAGTACCAGATGCCATACCCAGATAGTGTTACACATATAAATGTTTAATAAATGCTATCCTAAATAAAATTCACTGAAAAGTAAACATCTAGCCATATACAAAAATACATTATGAAACTAGTTTGTGGTTTCTACTATTTCTGCACTTTCATATATGGATTAGGTTTTGCTACTGAACATACCTTTAAATTAAATGCATTCAAGCAGGATGTGGTGACACACACCTGTACTCCCAGCTCTCAGGAGGCTGAGACAGGAGGATTGTCATGAGTTCAAGGCCAGCCTCAACTACCTAGAGAGCGCAAGGACAGCCTAAACTACACTGACACTGTCTCAAAAAAAAAAAAAAAAAAAAAAAATTAAATGCATTCCAATGCCTCATAACTACAGTACCTATTCAATATTCAGGAAGGAAAATCTAGATTGTCTGTAGAAAGTAGCATAAAGAAGGCCACACTCAAAAGAGAATCAAAACATCCTGAGGTGTTCTTACAGAAAATAGTAACACTCTTTAGTGGTATCAGAAAGCCTTGTCTATATTAGATTTTTTTCCTAAAAATGAACATTTTACATATGCTTTATTCCTCAGATACAAGTGTAAGCCAGTAAGTAAAAACTGAACACAAAACTCAAAATCACTTTTAAAATACAAGCTCAGGATAGAAATTGAAGTCACACAGTAAGTCCATACCTAAGTAATAGAAATGGTTATATCAAATATACTTACCATTGAAAGGATTGATTCCTGCACTTATTCTTGAAATAACAGCTTCTTTTACTTCTTTTTTCTTTACACATCGAATACCCAAATTTTGAAAACTAGAAGGAAAAAACAAACTTTCAAAACTGCATCACAGTTAAAGAAGGACTACAGAAATCAAACATACATCTACCACTGAAAAGCCACCATGCTGTCAGGGGGACAGGAGCATGAGCTGTACCTCTAACTGCTATGATGTAAGATGTAAGAGTAAAAAGGTGGCACTGAGACTGGGCGTGGTAGCATGCGGGTAATCCCAGCACTTGGGAGGCTGAAAACAGGAGGATCACTACGAGTCCAATCTGTGTAGTGAGACTCTGTAGACCCTGAACTAAATACATTTTTAAAAAAGTAGTATTATACTTCTTAGAGAACTGTTAAAAGGAAATAGCACATATAGTACTATATCATTTTTACAATATTTTACAATTATAACTTACCAATATGCCTATACCAAATATACCAAATATTAACAGAAAAGCAACACCAAAAAGTAAACAAACTGAAAATTAAATAATTAATATCTGTATACTTTGTATGAAGCAAAAAGTGTAAAAAGATGCCCACAACCTGAAGCCCAGAGACATGTTTTGTGAAGCCTATAGGAGTGCTGCCTACGTTAAAAAGAAAAAACAAAATCTGTATAGTTACCAAAACTTAAAACCAACTGGCTATATATGAATTTCTGGCTTCATGAACATTTTAGAGGTCCAGCAATAATAGATTATTACAGAAACAATAAGTTGAGAGTGAGCACCTGTAGCCCCACTGACCGGGGCTCTCACGTCTGTTAGTGTCCGCTCAGCCCTTCTATACCTGATCCTCTACACTCACGGATGCTGTCTACCTGACCTTCAGAGATGGAATTTTTCAGCCCCAATTTTACAGCTAATAGCAAAGGAATATATTTTGACATAATACATGCAGTTATAAGATATATTGAATTTTTTTATTAAAAAGAAGCTAAATACTATCAATATTTAACAAAAGTTTCAAGATATCACTTATGGAAAACTTCTCAGTAGCTACAAATATTACTAATTTGCATATATGTAGCACAGAGGATGGTGGGGGGAACTCCCCTACCACGACTAGTCACACTGGTTCCCACATGGAAAAACCATGACATCATTCAAGCCAGGTGGGTGTGAATAAGGAAATAGAACTTAGCTATGACACTACTATTTGTTCAAACTTTACATGGCACTTGACAACTAGGAGCTGCCTTGTCTAGCTCCTTCCACGCCCGCAGTATGTTCACACTGTCCACTTATTACACTGAGGGTTGTGCAGCACTTAAACTATCTTGACAAGACCTTCTTCTTCCTTTAATAATTAAAAAATAAATCATGAATTCATAATCTTTTCTTGAAGTCCTGAAACTACAATCTTCTTCCTCAAAGGTAGTCTATTTCTTTGAAAGAGTCTTAGTTTGGTTCTCTTTCTTTGACAAAAGATTTTAAGAAATTCCTCCTAATATTTTTATATGCTGCTTTATTTTGTTTCACCTGAATAGTCATAACTGACTGCTATTTGCAGAATCACAGAAGCAATAGAGGTTTTCAAAGTTCTGAGAGCTCAGCAGCAGAGTGCTTGCCTGGCATGCACAAAGCCCTGGGTTTGATCCCCTAAAGTAAAAGTCACACATGTGTACATGACCTTACAACTTAACCCAACCCAACCCAAACAAAAACCTGACCCAAGGAAACCAGGGATCATAGAGGTTATCTGAATTAACTATTCATTCATATATTTATCACAGTTACTCAAGTTTTGGAGCTCCTCCTGTGTACTAAGAATTCTGGAAAGTAATGAAGACATTGGATTCCCCTTCATGGAACTTAAGAGTGTGGTTGGCAAACTATAACAGATGGGCCAAATCTAGCACAGTGTCTCTCTCTCCAAATATGTATTGGAACATAATCTTACATATTCATTTACATATCGTTTGTGGCTGCTTTCATGCTGCAGTAGCAGAATGGAGCAGCTGCAACAAACACCATAGGCCTGCACAGCCTAAAATCTTCACCATCCAGCATTTTACAGAAGAAGGCTACTAACCCCTACTCTGGTGCATCAGATCGCTATTAAATAATCACACTGAAATGATGACAATTTTTGAAGGAAATACATATGTTTAGAGGAGTCTTTGACAGAAGACAATTGATCAATTCAGGGCAGAAAGAGAAGTGATACTTAACAAATGGAATGGAAGTTGTGTGGAAAGGAACAGAACATGCAAGGTCCCTAAAAAGATCCCTGTGAGCACAAGACATCAGGTAGAGGTTTTCGTGAGTGGTATAGAGAGATCAGAAGATGCACAGGAAGGACCAGCAATATAGCTCAGTGGACTAAGCACTTTCTTAGGTATGTGCAGGGGCCAGGGTTCGATCCCTGGTACCGCATGCCACACTAGCCACGCCCCTGGGCACACCGAGCTTGCAATGGAGTCTGGGCATGGTGGCGCACACCTGTAATCCCAGCACTAAGGAGGGAGAAATCAGGAGGATCACTACAAGTCCAAGCTGTGTAGTGAGACCCTGCGCACACACACACACACATACACTCACACACACAAGTACGCACAGTAGAACAGAAGCTTAGAAACACAGTGGGTATGTAGGCCATAGAAAGAACGGTATCCTTATTCTATAATCCCAGCACTTGGAAGGCTGAGGCAGGAGGGTCAGCATGGGTTCAAGGCCATCCCAGACTGCACCGACATATCAAAATCCTGACTCAACCCCACCCACCCAAAGTCATTATTTATCCAGTAATGGAGATAGTCCAAAACTTTATTTTTTTAATTTATTTTTTTTTTTAAAGTTAAAAGAAACGCTTTATTTTAGCTGGTACCCAGCGGCAACACCCGACACAAAGTGCCTAAGTGCGCGCCGAACATTAACAAGGGTCAGTATTTAAGCTTGAAAACCACAAAAACAGGGAAGGGGTGGAGAGGAAGAAGTGGCAGGGTCATTAGTTCATGGGGGGGGGGGTCCCGTTGGGTGGGGTGCTGAAGTTAGCAATCATGGGGTACAGCGGGTCATTCGTTCATTGGGTGGTCCTGTTGGGGGGGTGCTGAGTTGGCAGTCACACAGAGTTCATTAAGATAAGAAAGTTTGGGGTACAGATGTCATAAGACTTGGGTCACAGGGGTGAGGAGTTGGGAGGGGTAGGCGCATACAAAACAGGAACTCGGCGAGGTTAGAAGGGCAACAAAATGGAGTCAATTTTGACAGGGTATAACAAAAATGACTTAAGGACAGTAATGACCAAGCACCCTGTCCGGCCTCCCCAAGAAGGCAGCAGAAGGGGAACTGTGGGGCAACAGTGGAAGCTCCGGTGCCCACCCCGCCCTCGCCCCCCAGTGCCTCAGTTTCACCATCGGCAAAGGGAAAAATAACGGTGCTCATTTTACTTTAGGAAAAGAAACCCTTGTGAGACGGCACATTGTAGGTACGAAACATTTGTAAATTGTCATTTTTCCTTTAGAAAACATCAAGGATGGTGAGTAGGAAAAACAGCACACAATCTGAGGACCGTGAGTGGGAGCCAGAACAGCAGCCGTAACGGGAAGGGCAAAGTCACTGTCTACGATGGATGAGAAGCTCTGGGAAGCAAGAACGTCGGTTGAAAGTCTGCTGGGTGCTATCGAACAACCTCACTTTAAACTTAGAGTGTGCGCATGGCAGGCAGCTGCGTTACTGCAGCTTTCCTGTTCTGTGTCTGCCAAAGCTGCAGAGTCCAAAACTTTAACTGCTAGAAAAGTTAAAATGTTATTAGAATTTCAACTAATACAGACAGAAAATATTTTTTACTGTATTATAATTAGATATTTTATATTTTGTGTTATTATTAATAAAGAACATTTTAGGGCTAGCGATAGCTTAGCAGTCTAAGCACCTGCCTGGCAAGCACAAGGACCCAAGTTCAATCCCACATACCACATGTTGTGCTGGCCCCAAAACTGGGCATGGTGGCACATGTAATCCCAGAGCTGGGGAGGCTGAGACAGGAGAATCACCATGAGTCTCAGCTTCGTAGTGAGACTCTGTATCCAATAAATGAATAAATAATACAAAAAAAGAAAATATTTTAAGTGTTTGTTTCTTTTTCATTTTTTCCATAATCCTAGCACCTGAGAGACTGAAGCAGGATTACAAATTTAAATCCATACCAATTTGATTTGAAAAAATAAAGTAAAATAAAAATAAAAATTAAATTAAATTAAAAAACAAAACAAACAAACAAAAAAATTTAAATCCAGCCTGGACAACTAAACAAGAAGTAAGCATCACACTTTCTCCCTGTCTGGTGGATGCGTTGGAACAGAGCCATGGAGAAGGTCCTCCCCAAGATCTGCACTATGAGGCTACATAGCCCCACTGTGCTGAACACAGGGTTCGTCTCATCAAACTACATCTTGTCAGACTGGGTGTGGTGGCGCATACCTGTAATCCCAGCTCTTGGGAGGCTGCAGGCGGATCACTACGAGTCTGATCTAGTAGTGAGACCCTGAACATCCTGTAGACCCTTCCAGAAAAAAAAACAAAACTACATCTTGTCTTTCTCATAGCAGCCTGTTTTCCACATGGGGGTGGTGCTGTTTGGCCCACAGTTCTGGGAATTCTCCATGCCATAAAAGATGGCTGGGGATGCAGCTGAATGCAAAGACTATGTGTTCAATCCCAGTACTTCAATAAACAGTAAAAATGTAGAAATTCACACTATACCCACTCAAAGACAACTATTAATATCTTACTAGGGGCCGGAGAGATGGCTCAGTAGAATAAGCGCTTGCCTGGCAATCATCCCGGTTCCACAAAAAAAAAAAATAAATAAATCCTACTATATATACTACTATGTATATGTAAAAAATTAGTACACATACTACAATGTCTGTATAAATTCACTTTTAACAAAAATAAGATTACTTTTATAATTGTGTGTGTGTGTGTGTGTGTGTGTGTGTGTGTGTGTGTGGCTGGTTCAGCCCAGGGGCAGGGCTGGCGCAGCATGTGGTGCCAGGGATCGAATTACGGTCCCTGCATTTGCCTAAGCTTGCCTAAGCAGGCGCTTTAGTCTGCTGAGCTATCTCACTGACCCCCATGCTTTATTTTATTTTATTTTTTTAAAAATTTATTTATTTATTTACTTGTGTGTGTGTATGTGTGTGTGGCCAGCTCAGCCCACCAGGGGGCAGGGCTGGCTGGCATGTGGTGCTGGGGGATTGAACCGCGGTCCCTCTGCTTTGTTAAGCTTGTTCTAAGTAGGTGCTTTAGACCACTGAGCCATCTCACCAGCTCAACCCCCATGCTTTAAAATCTATTATATTAAAATCCATCTGACTCACAGCAACATTTATACTGACTTTATAGCTACACAGAAGCACAATACAGTATGTATCAGTTTATTTAACCAATCTCCTTTGTTTAGTATTTAAATTGCTTCTCTATTTCTGCCATCACAAACAAAGGTGCACTGAACATCATCATAATTAAAGGTTTGAACATTCTTGATTATTTTTCTGAGGAAAAATACCCAGAGTTAGAATTGCTGGCTTAGGGTACATTCCTATTTCTTGGGATTTGGGTATATAAAGTGCCAATCAAAGGGGTTTTTTTTCCTTTTTCTTTTTTTCTTTTTTAGATAAGGTTTCACTGAGCAGTCCAAGCTGGTCTAGAACTCACTTTGTAGCCCATGCTGGCCTTGAACTTGCAATGATCCTCCTGCCTCAGCCTCCTGAGTGCTGGGATTATAGGCATGCATCACCATGCCTGGACCAAAATGATTTTATTAATTTAAATTTTCATTACTGTAATGAGTAGTCCCATCTCTGGTAGCCTCATCAACATGAAAATGACACTGCTTTTGTGTGTGTGTGGTACTAGAGACTGAGCTAGGGCCTTCGCACTAAGGTACATCCCAAGCAATTTTATAGATTTCTTTTTTCCTTTTTGAGACAGGCTCTCACTATGCAGTTCAGCCTGGCCTTGAGCTCACTATCTAACCCAGGATGGCCTCAAACTCACTGTAATTCTCATGCTCAGCCTCCTGAGTGCTGAGAAGAAAATTTTTAATTTTGTAACAAGGTCTTGATAAATCGCTACATCGCACAGGCTACATGCAAATTTGCAATCCTCCTGTTTCAGCCTCCCAATAAACTGGGATTATAGACATTTTTTAATCTTAGAACATTTGATGTATGTTAAATTTAATAAATTCTAGAGTTTTCCAGTTGAGTTTCTCACATCTGGCAATTATTAAATTAAAAATGAAAAACTAGAGTAAAACTTTTCATGAATTGTTCAAACTGAGGGAAAAACAGCATAAAATAAATTTTTTACTCTCAATAATAAAGAAGTATTCCTACCCATCATGTGTGATGTCTACTAATGAAGAATGAAAGGGTAGTTCTAATATGAACAGTACAAAAATGTAAATACACATTACAGTAAATAGAATGAAAAATTAACATACTCTGTTAAAAAGTAAAAGCCGGCCATGGATAGGAAACAGCATGCTATGCTTATCCTGTCCCCGCAGATCTGTGACTGCATACTGCATACTTACAACAAAGGTCTACGTTCCTGTCCAAAATCAGCTTCATAGTAGCCATCTCTGCAGTCTTTTCCAACTAAATCATGAGGGTGAGGCTTATATGGGTCATTCTTTGTTACTAATGTAATTCTCACTTTTCCTTTTCCATAATAGTTCATTATCTGAAAAAGTAATTAAATACATGATCCATAAATATACTCATTAACAACTAATTATTAATTAAAGGTTAATTTATATAATGTAGTTAGCACGGTATTAAAAAAAAGTTCAACTGACCAGTAACCGCATTTGAGATGAAGCTTCTTGAAGAACAGCAGTAGGGAAGAACTTACCTGTCAGGATCAGGACAATAATTATAATAATAATTTTCTACCCTAATTTCAACTGGTCTCATCATCACACTCTGCTTATTATCCTTCTAAAACAAGTAAAACTATACAACAACTTTTACTGCAGAACATTGAGAAATACTTAAATGCTACGTAACTAAGTGCCTTGCTCTTAGATGTTATATCATACCATAAGCATTCCGTGGGAATACATGCACTCAAGCCACACTGAAAATGACAGTATGCAAATGACTGTCTTATTAAATATGTGATGTTTCATGGCAATATGTGCCGATCAGTAGGCATATAAGGTGTATAAGTTGAACTTAATAAGATTAAGGCTCACACAGAAAATGTATTTAGAACACTTACCCTAAAGTGGCAGGGACACTTAGAGCTAATAATGTTCACTTCTATTTTTTGTGCTACTGGGGATCGACCTTGTGCTTGCCAGGCCGGCGCTTATGCCGCTGAGCAATCTCCCCACCCCATTAATGTTCACTTGTAAAGCTAGCAAAATTTGACAGAACAAGCAATAAATATAAAACCCAGCATAGGTAGGTAGTTGAACAAGAATGGCTAGCTTTGTGGTACAGGGCACTAAAATCCATAATTGTAAATTTAGATATAATGTGAACAGTAACCAGAAGTATTGTCTTTCTGAATGAAAGAGAAGGTAACTACTCAAAAAAGACTGATTTTTTAAAAAAGGCTGGTTTAGATACAACTCAAGCCATGAAGTCTATGTAGGACCTACTGAAATGTAGAGATCTTAGAAATATTTTCAAGACATATAAAACAAGTTAGTGGGCTGGAGAGATGGCTCAGTGGTCTAAAGCACCTACTTAGAACAAGCTTAGCAAAGCATCAGGGACCGCGGTTCAATCCCCCAGCACCACATG